ATTCAAATGCAGAACCTTTGAGGGAGCGTACGAACTACTTCACCATAGTGTTATTGTAAGTACCTACATTGTTACACATCTCAATAAATGAGCAACATGTTGCCTTAGATTGCCCTTATCAAAACACTGAAATTTCGGAGGTTGATAAATGAGTGGCATCTTTATTTCGTCCATTCGACGACTATAGGGCTTGGCATACACGAAAGAAGATTGCAGTGAACCACCATATTGGGCATGAATGGTGTCTGCAATCATATGTTGAAGTTGTTGGACGGACAAAGACCCAACGGAGAGTTGAGTGGTGTCACGCAACACGTTTTGAACAACTGTCCGATCATGCATATCTTGCTTTTGTTGGCGCTCTTAGACTTCTAACTCTTTGGCCTTGGAAGATCCTGAATTTTCATGATCTTCTTTAGCTGGTGGATTTTGTGACTTTAGCCTATGCATGAGTGCAACAATCTTTGCATCCTTGTCTTCCAACGACTTTGTTAATTTTTCAATGGTTAAAGTCATTTGTTGAATTCAATAATCTGAGCCCGATGCCGCTTCTATGACCATCACTGGCTTAAGTGATTCTTCAGATGAAGCATCATCCTCCCACCTTTGCTGAGAAGTGGCATGAGGGGATCCAGACAAGGATCTACCACCGGAAATGGAGCCCGAACGAGAACTTTTCGCTGAACTCATGATTTTTTCTGTCGAATGAGAGTTTGGCTTTTTGAAGGCAATTTTCATTTTGCCTTTGTTGGAGAACTTCTTCAGTGGTGTGACTAGTTGAGTCTTCCCAATTTTTGTTTGGGCCCTGGTCGCATGGAAGAGTTCAGCAAGTGTCTCTTCAAGATGAGTCATAGTTTGTTTCGCATTTTCGCCTGCCATTGCTGATATAGTAGTTGAAACTTGAAGATTTTGAGATCAAAAGATAAGAGGACAAAAAGGTCCCATCGGGCGTGCCAAGAAATTTGTACGACGAAATTTTGTATATTAAAATACAGAAATCATTACAAATTGTATTTTGATAAGTACAAGTGATGTTGACCTGATTGTTATTGCAAAATTGCAAAAATTCTCTAATTAATGATCTGAATATTTGAAGACAGGGGGCCACGTGGCTTGAATCCTGGTCTTCAAGAATTTGTTGAAAATTTGATTTGTCGAGACTTGAATTGTTCGAAACTTGAACTTCGGGGCTTAGACTTGGACTTGAATTTGATCTGATTTGAAGAAGACTTTGATCTCCTTGGACTTGACGTGAACCTTTTTGAAGAAGATATTGATCTTCTTGGGGTTCATCGAGTTTAGGTTTGAGAGAATTTCTCCGCTTCTTCCGATCTCGAAATTTCTTTAACACTTCGCGACGTTCTCTGCTTTATTTCTTACTTCAGCTTTCACCTCTCCTTCTACCTGTCGTATGGACCATTGGTCCTATGTTATAGGGGAGAATTCGTGCTAATTTTGATAATACTCAATTTATATTTAATTAAATGAGATAATTGAGTAATTATGATTTTATTTATTTGTTTGTTTATTTGATTTGATTTATTTATTTAAAATTTGGTATGGACCCTTGGATTTTATGGACTTTAGTAGACTTTAATTTAAGTGAGCTAATGATTTAAATCAACCCAATCCATTATTTATTTTATTTATTAATTTTATTTTATTTTTATGTCTACAGCTTCATCCATGTCTTCTCTGTGTTTTCCACACACTGCTAATTTTTCCTTTATTTTCTCTTTTAACCCTTTCTACTTCCTTCTTCCTTCTCCCACCTTCCCCGTCATCCTCAACTAGCAGAACAGTAGACTCAAAACATAAGTAATTATTCAAGCATAATTCAAAATATAAATTTACTCAAAATTTACTTTTACTTTTTAGCTTCGCCGAGCATTCTCTAAATCAAAAAATAAAAATAAAAATCCAGCGACAATTTCGGAAATTGGATGATCCAAGTAAAACAACAGATTGGGAGGATAATTAAGTTTTAATTCCTACTTCGAGTATTCAATATTCAGGATTTAAACTGACCGATCTTGAACGCGAGCTAATGGAGCGGTGAAGCAGTTCCTGTTCCTGCCGGGGCGGAGGCGGAGATTCATATTTCCGAGTTCCGGCCGCGGACGTGGAGACACCATTAACGTGCATTTTCATCGACCAAATCTGCCATTTCTCAAAATCTTAATTACACTGCAAGAAGGTCTCGAGCTTTAAGATGAACTTGGTAGGGATTGTATAGAGGGCTCTCAAACGGTGCAGTAGTAGCAGTTTCTGAATGTAAACTGGGATTTTCCCACGTGCTTTTCAATGGAGAGCGCAAATATTTCTTGGTTTTAAAATTATGGAGATTTCAATGTTAATCACTCATTTACGTCACGAATCTTCCATTAATCCCGATTATTAAACTTCAATATCTCAATTGTTCATTAACATTATTTCTAAGAAAATATGCTACCCAATCAATTCATATGAATAAAGCTCAAATTATGCTTCTTCAAACAATATTTAAACAGTATATGTTTTTAGCTTTTACAGCATTAAGACTGTTTAATTAAATGAAACTGTAAGATGCAATTGCTAATATTGGCTAATAGAATGACTAATATTGTAAGTAAAAGTGAAGTTTAGTAACTTAACTCAGACACGTTAAAGTTGGAGGACCCAATTGAGATTTCAAGTACAGAGACCAAAAATGAAATTGAGGAGCAAAGTTGAAATTTGTCCCAAAAACAAGAACTCGGTCCAACAAATAAAGCCAAGTAACGAACTCCGTAAAGAGGAGCAAAGTTGAAATTTGTGAATAAAACAAAATTTTACCAGGCTCTTACTTCAAATTACTACCTTTTTCCTTTTCCTATATGGAACTTCGATCTTTCAATTTGTACTAACCCCATTCTTTACAGTGTGTATCTTCAGTAGTTACTGTTCATCTGCCAGTTGCAGATCAATCCGACTGTGAAATCTGTAAAAAAATAAATAAAATAAAAATAAAAAAACACAGCGTCTCAGCACACTACCATAAATATGAATCAAAATCTATTGCAAACACCAGGCTCTTACTTCAAATTACTACCTTTTTCCTTTTCCTATATGGAACTTCGATCTTTCAATTTGTACTAACCCCATTCTTTACGTATCTTCAGTAGTTACTGTTCATCTGCCAGTTGCAGATCAATCCGACTGTGAAATCTGTAAAAAAATAAATAAAATAAAAATAAAAAAACACAGCGTCTCAGCACACTACCATAAATATGAATCAAAATCTATTGCAAACATAATCCATTGATTGCACATATGAATATTGAACAAAGATGCATGTGTAAGATACGAAACCGATGTCCACACTTACTTCTTTGGAGTTGTCAAGAAGCTCACTCCTTGCTAGATTTCGTCCAGAAAAATCCCTTTTTCCGAGTGGTGTGATTCTCAGAAAATGATCTAATTTCCTTTGACCCGATAGAGAAGCGCCGTCTCAAGAAACGGTTTCCTAAAGAGCTGCTAATTTTGGGATTTGTTCCGTCATGACCACTGCTTTTATCATGATCAAATTCAATGAGATTGCTATCAACCACCCAATTCCGGGATTGCTTTCTAGCCTTCAAATCCATTTCAGCTTTTAGTGCCTTTCCAGATATCTTCTCCCCAAGAGCACAGACTGGGCATTTTGGGTCGTATTTGTTGGTTTCAGCCGTCATGAACTCTAAGCACTCAGCATGGAAAACATGCCCACAAATTAAAACAGCAACCACATCAATTTCAGTGGTAACAATTAATTTTTGGCCACCCCATGAAGATCTCTCGATTAAAAGCTTTGAACAGATACCACATGTTTGGAGATTCAAGGAAGTAGACCCTGATAGTTGTTGGCTATCAAAAGACCACCTCTCTCTCCTAGTTCTTGTTAACTCTGAAAAGGCGGGAGATGAACAGTTGTTTGAAGACCCATCGTTGGAGCCCTGAGTAGGGAGCAATAAAGAAGATGCTTCTTCAGATATCGAAAATGCGGGTAACTTGCATTCAGGAATCCCGCTATCAGATACATGCCTTAATAGCTGGTGTCCTGGAGAACGACAACGCAACCTTGAAGGAGTTGAGTGTGGGGGAAGATGGTGAATTTTAGATGATAAAGAAGATGTTGTCAAAGATAAAGCAGAAGGTGCTGAAGTAGATAGCTTTGCAGGAGATGGGTATAAAACTGCAGGGGATTCTGTTGACTCTTTCATCTGGCCAATGGAAATGGAAAAGACAAATCAGATGAGAAAACCCATGTAACATATGTATTCAACATATGCAAACATTCAAAATACATTGTAATGCAAAATTCAACCAGTACGAACAGTACGCCACGTACCTCTGCTGAAGACCAGGAAATAGAAGGATCTGCAAAAACAATTATACAGACATCAAATGAAAAACCATGGAAAATTACTGTTCAACTAATTTTCCTACGATAAATATTAAAGAGCAAGAGAATAGGATGTCCATTGTCATGCGTCTGTGCCCAAAGAATAAACAAGTTAATGCACAGACAATCAGTAGATATGGTGTTGGGTCTATGAATCATTGAAGTTGTCTAAAAAAAGCATTGGCAATTTGCCTGAATTAAAGTCTAATGAATCTAGAAGTTCTTTACCATTTTTCAAAACCAAAATTTTTAATAGCTAAAGATAATTAACTACAGTAGTTATCGTTTCCGATTACAGATTTGCCATCAATCATAAAATCTGCAGATCCTAGTCAAAAGGTCGCCAGCTCAAGAAACATAAACGCCTTGTCAGATGTTTTGTAAGTGTATTAAATGCATAATGAACAGATAATATGCGACGAGAAATATAGAAACTCCAGGCAATGCGTAATGCCCCCATACATCAGATCTAGCTCTACAAGTATTAGAAATAAATCTAGTACCTTATCTCGTGATATACTACCTTTCTAGTACTCCATAGTCTCAATTATATGTAGCTTATGAAGTAACTCGATGAGCATGTTTATACAAATTTTAATAGAACACCCACTGAATTGGTTAACTTTTAATTTTTATTTTTGTCAAAAATTTGATAATTGCTAGAATTTATCTGAAACTAGGACCAGAAACGAATTGTATACAATTTTTTAACAGGAGCAATAGAGACAGTATCTAAATTGGCAAATTTGAACAAGTTCTTATTTAATTCTTATTCTGAGGACTCAATCCCGTGCTGCCGAAATGAACAGTTCGTCAGCACCTCACATCATAGATTGCAAACATATGTTTTCCATAGACTAAAATTATAAATATATAAAAATGAGTGGTGAATAATAAGATGGTAAATGTAACACTCTCAAGATGTGTGGATAAAAAGTGGTTTCAGTGTTTATAATCCGTTTATAAACATGAGCCAAACATAGGTCAAATAAACTGGAGAAAAATTAAAGTGCATTACGATGATCATATTTTTATATTTGCAAGGCATCTCAAAATTAAAAGAAATGAACTGCCTCATAGAGAATTACCAGAAGAAGGATGTCTAAGAATCCCAGTATTTTCTTCCAAAACTGGGGACTTTTGCCACACAAGTGACTGGGAACTATCTAATTGGATGCCCCCTTCAGAAGCAGAAGCAATTTCTACAGTGGCACCAGATTTGGCATCCAATGGATGACTGCCACCCCCTCCATCATGTACCCAATCCTCAAATGGCTCTTCTCCAGCTACTCGCCCACGATTATCCCATCTAAAGCTCCAAGAGGGTGAACGGCGGGCATGCCTCTGCAAAGCTTCACTGGGAGATCCTTTTGTTATAGGTTCTCTAGCTGCGACACAACATGCAGACCCCATGCTTTCTCACACACAGAACAAAGAATTGATTACTTACGGACAACTGTCTTTCGCATTTATGATCTCCGCAAAAAGAACATGAAGGATGCCAACTGAACATAAATCTCTGTATAAAGTGAAAGACGGCAATCAATCATCATCTGGTTACAGTGACAAGATTACAGATACACATTGCACCAAACAGTGGAGCAATAATCAAGCATGACCAACTTTCTAACCAAAATGTTACACAACATATCCCTGACACCTCAGGTCCTTAGCTGAAATTAAGTTAAGAACGTGATATAAATTTGTAATTTTCATAATATTGCTCTAAACTAATATGTAAGTAATGATTAAAAATAACATATATCAGTCCAGATGATATCTAAATTATTGATCACTGAAACAACAAATGACAGCTATCAATTTCCGAGGATATGAGGAACTAAAAATCATCATCTGACACATCAGAGAAAAGGTGGAAATAATTTCGAATGCTATGAGATATACTTCCCTTAATAGTTAATACAAGTCACACGTAAAAATGGTGGAAATAATATTGAATTCTATGAAATATGTTTCCCTTAATACGAGTCATACATGAAGTATAGCCCCTTTTTGAGCCTCATTCTATAAAAACTTATTTTTTTCCCAACTTATTTTCAACTACATTCTCCCAATAAAATAATTTTCCGCGTAACCTCAAATTTTTCCCTACTTTTTAACCACTCATTCTCCAAAAAAATAACAATTACAAAACCTGAATTCCCAAAAAATGGGCTCAAATACACGCATAATCTGCATGCTCTATGTAAGGTGGTGGTCACAATGAATAAAATTATGCCCAGAGCAAACATCCTCTGCCAACATATAAAAACAAAAAACAACAACACAATTCTACCCTCAAGAAAATTGCAATTGATGTACCATTTTCTCATAAGAAATACACTTTACCCAAGTAGTCCAGTTTCAATTATTTAAATTTAGGGATCATCGGAGTTCTTCCTGAACCACCTTAAAGACAGACGAATTAATAGCAAAGCCTAATACATATAATCCAGTAATGAGGGTTGTCATAAAACTTGGAAAAGCCAGAACCCAAAAGCTAGCCATTCAGGTTGGAGAACCCAAACCGATATAAACCGCACAAAGGAATGCTTCAGATGTGGGATTCATGTGCCCATACACCCCAATGAAAATCATGACAAAACACCATGTTTTCGACTCGACGTCCACGTCGAGCAGGTGCCCATACACCCTAAGTGATAACCGAGACCAGCAGACATGGTGCTTGCTCTGATACCATTGTCTATGACAATAGTCAAGTCATCCTATCAGACAGTATCTGTCCACGCATCACATTTATCAGATCACCAAAAGACTATTAAAATCCACATCAGAGTAACAAAAAGACATAAATGCTTGGATTCATTAAAAAGTAATTTAAACCGAGAAATCTTAAACAGAAGTAAATAATAAAACCTTCAAAATGAGATCAGAAGACATGGAGATCTAAAATTAATACGAAACAAAATCACAGTCCAAATTTATTTTCCCATCTAACCATTTTATTATTACCCTATATAATCCAAATAAGTTCCATTCTTATTTCCCCTTAAGCCCCATATTATTACCTATTTCCTTTAAAAGCACATACGAACACATAGTACTACAATATAAATATATTGTCTTTCGTGCAAAAACAAATGAAACTGACAAGATGAAACCGTGAGTCCTGCGATCTGAAAACCCTAGAAAGAGATATAAAAGGTGTAATAGAGAGAGATTCTGGTTCTTCCTTTTCTACATTTGGTGAGGAGAGAATTTATATTCTAGATTGGATGCGAATAAATAAAATAAATAATCCTAAATATTTATGCTGTTTGGAGTGGTTACCTTAGGTGCAAGAATGATTTGTTAAGTATTAATCACATTATTTAATTGATGAATCATTAAAAATACATGAAATTCATCATTAACTTATTCATCAATTAAATAATGTACCTTGTTACCGGTGCTTAACATAAGCTAAACACCAGTATTTAGGAGATCATTACTGACCTTAAGTTAATATTGGATTATAAATTTTATTTTTACTTATAACGAAGCATTGAGAAAAATAAAATGAAGCATCGAGTCATGTAAGCATTCTATATTTTGTGAAATACATCAAGAAAAATAGAGGTGGGTGAAGATGAAAACGAGTAGTTTGAAATAATTTTATTAGAAGAAATGTCAAAACGCGTACGAATATAAAAAATGTGAAGTTTTATTGACATTTAAATGCTATTTCATTTCTATTTTTTGTGGGCACCAATATTATTGTCATGATCATATTTTTAAGATCTATTTTTTCTTGAAGATTAGTTTTATTTATTATTATAGAAGATATCATCTCCAGTCTAAATGACAATGGACTCTTGATTCATTATTCATT